GAGGGAGGGAGGGAGGGAGGGAGGGTGGGTCAGGGTCCTGTTGCACCCCCACTCTGCAGGAGACCATCCAGCTGTGCTCCCTCCCCGTCGCACCCCCTGGCTGATGATGTCCCCGTGTCAGCCCGTGGCAGGGGACACGCCTGGGGACCAATGGGAACGGGGACACTGCCGTGGGGGGAGGACGACCAGAGCCAAAGGCTGGCCGCAGACCATCACCGCTGCCTCTGGGCAGTGATATCTCTGCCGAGCAGAGTCCCACCGGCGGCCCCTCCTGCTCGGGGGATGCTCCGTTAACACCTCGCGCCTGGGAACTGCGCCGGGCCGGGAAAGGCCGATAGGGGCTGCATCCTCGCAGCTCGGGCTGCCTCCTCCGTGGAGGATGTCACTGGCATAAGGAACAGGAGCCCGGCCCGCTCCGCTGGGCCCCTTCCAGCCGCGGGGAGGAGCGGCGGGAGAGCAGAGCCCGGCGGCTGTGCACGGGCAGGGAGGGAATCTAGGTCAGGGCTTGCTTTAAAAGGGGGCACAGAGCCCAGAAGTCGGCGGCTTCCAGCGAAGCCACGGAGCAGCGGCGCCTGCCCGAGCCCGGCGCAGACACCGGGAACCGGCAGTTGAAGAACGCCGGTGCTCACCCGGAGCATCCCCATCCCGGCAGCTGCGGTGCCCGGGGACTCCCACGGGTGTTGCTTCTCGTGTGGCCGTTCACGCAATTCTTTGCTTTGCTGGGAAACAGCGGTTTGTAGTTCAGGGCTGGAAAACAACGTGGTGCCTGTGGACACGCGATTTCCAGAGACACGTGTGCCTGGGCACAGGGAGATGCCGCTCACCTCCAAAACGAGACCGACAAATCTCCAAAGGCCCCCTCCTCCCCCTCCGCCTCCTCACGGCTGGAAGGGCGTCAGCGAAGGGAACTGGCCCCGGGTCTGACATTTCTGCATTCACCAGCAAACGGCCAAAAAAAAAAGCCTCAACGGAGCACAAATCCCGGCGGCAGCAAAAAGGGAACCGGGAAGATGTGGAGGGTGCAGAGCTGTGGCTGCCAGGGCAAACAAATGCCTCCACACACATTTTGTCCCCCAAATAACTCCCCAGCCCCGGCAGAGCCCCAGCAGATCCGAAAACACAAAAGGGATTTTATTTTTCCCCCTCTCTCCAAATTTGGGATTGCTCTGCACTTCCCAACACCCTTCAAGGTTTTAGGATTGGGGAATGATTAAGTTGGCACCATGATGCATTTAATTAAAAGCCAGCGCCTGAAGGTAGAGGGAAATCAGCTGCTAGAGCAGGGGATTTTTGGAGGGCAACCCCGTGAGGCACAGCCTGATCCCTGGCTGTTCAGGGAGGCTGGACTTGGCAGTGGGCTTTGTGCCTGGCTGAGCTGGCAGAGACCACAGCAGTCCCTGTGAGCCGCAGCCCTCCCTGCTCCTCCTGCCGCAGCCACCTCTCGGGGCCAGATTTTCAGGAACTCAGGCTCTGGTGAGCTTGGAAAAATCCAGATTTTTCTCATGGGCTCAGCATTCAGCCACTCCCTGGGTTTCCACTGAGCTCAGCTTCAAAATGAGGTGTGCACCAAAGCTCCAAACTTCACAATAACCCCTTTAAAAATCCTCTAATAAAAAGTTAAGCTATTAAAGTGCTCCCTGTCCTTCCAAGGCCAAACAGGCAGATGGGGGTCATGTGCTGTGCTCCAGGAAGGGCATTTCCAGGAGCTCTTGTGGGTGCAAACCCTCTGCTCGGGTGGCCAAGGTGCTGATGGAAAGGGCTCTGACAAATTCCATTTCCCCATCTGTATTCACTTCCCTTTTCATGCCTCATCCTGGGGAACCCGAAGAGACTGGGGAAAAGGCTCTGAAAATGAAATGAGGTCCCAACCCAGTGGGATTTTCAGAGAAGGGATTGCAGAATAGTTGGAAGGGAACAGCCCAGGGCTTCCCCGTGCCCTGACGCACAAACCCAGGTGGAATTGCAGGCTGTGCTGCCGGGGCGTTTGGGCTCTCTCTCCACTCCTGGCCCCTCCGAAGGGAACCGCAGATTGTCACCAGAGCCGAGCTCTGCCCGCAGCAGGCACGGGCCAGACCTGCCTCTCCTGCCACTGCTTCCCCTTTGATGCCACTGCAGGTGACACCGAGAGAGAACCCGGTTTTGAGGCACATTTGGAGCGGGCAGTGGCCCGATCCCTGCAGCAGCACACCGGGAGCGGGCTGGGGGTGCCGGGAGGGCTCCGGGCACCGCAGCCCCCGCCGGGCCTAACGGGAGCCCCAAAACCCGAAGGAGGGCTGAGGGGACAGGCAGCGCGGCTGGTTACCGTGCTGAGTGATCAGCGCTGAGTAACGAGCCCGGCGGGAAGCTCCGGGGAACGGAGCTGGGGGGGTCCTACAGAGCGGCCGGGCGTGGCAGGCGGGGAAGTCCCCGGTGCCCCGTGCCGGTGCTGCCCGGTGTGTCGGGCCGTGCCCGCTGTCCCGGTGCCGGTGCCGCCCGGTGTGTCGGGCCGTGCCCGCTGTCCCGGTATCGGTGCCGCCCGGTGTGTCGGGCCGTTCCCGGTGTGTCGGGCCGTGCCCGGTGTGTCGGGCCGCCGTGCCGGTGCTGCCCCCTGCCCTCCGGCCGCGCTCACGGCACCGCCCGGCCCCGCCCGGCCGCGCTGACCCCTCCATGACGTCACCCCCGCGGCCGGCGCCGGGGGCAGTGACACCGGCAGTGACACCGGCAGTGACACACGTGTCACCGTCACCGTGGCGACGCGGCGCTGACGCGCTGTGCCCGCGACCCTCCCCGGAACGGGCGGGCGGCGCGCGCTGAGCGCGTCACGGGGGGCGGCGGCGGCTGCACGGGCCCGGGGCGCCGCCATGGAGAGCGCGAACCAGGGTACGGGCCGGGGGCTGCGCTCGGGACTGGGGCTCCTGCTGGAGGAGAGTCCCGGCCACGGGGGGAGCTCGGGGGCGGCGGTGCGGGAGCTGCCGCTGCCGTGACGGGGGACGCGGCCCCGGGGATGGGGAGCGGCCGGGGGTCTCTTCACAGCGCCGCCTGCCTCGCCGGGCCCCGTCCCCGCCCACTGTGCCGGGCACGGGAGCTGGAAGGCCGCGGAATGCCCGGTGCTGCTGCCGCTTCCGATCGATGCTCGTGGAGGAAACTCCGGCGGAGGTTTCTCTTCCCCTGCCCGGCGCAGCCCCTTCCCCCCGCCCCGCTTTGCATAACGCGCCTCGCCTGCCGCTTGCTTATTCAGTGCCCTCTGCTCCTTGTCTGCGACAGATATCAACCTTAACTCTCCCAACAAAGGTCTGCTGGCCGATGCCATGACAGATGTTCCCGTGGATAACGCGGCCCGGGGCGCTGCTCCCGAGGGATTGACTCTGGCCGAGGAGGAGGAGCTGAGAGCCGAGCTCGCCAAGGTAAGGGGGGCTCGGTTTGGCAGCGTGTGCCCCGGTTGTGTTCTGCTGGGAAGGAACAAACAGGAGCCACAGGGGCAGAACTCGGTGTTTTGTCGTTGGGGTTTGTTTTTTTCGGTTTTTAATTTTGTAGTGTTACTTTTGGGTCTCTTAGCTAATTGTTAAAATGCACAAAGCTGGCAGATACTTCAAACGCCGTGGTGTGTTGTTTGCTCTTTCCTAGTACAGCCTAATTTAGAGCTTTAAGGAAATAAGCAGCTTTTGGTGCCATGAGCTCAGTGTAGGATTTTTGTTCCATGTGAAGTGAGAAAACACTCCAGGCAAATAATAAGCAAAAGAAAGCCATTTTTCCTTGGGAAACTGAAACGTTGGAACACTTAATGAGCTTTTCTTCCTACCTTTTTCTCTTAAATATTTATTACTCTTTACAGGCAGCTATTTTAGGTGCCTATATGCTTTTGAAGAGATGAGGGTTGGTAATACAACATCCTAAAGTTTGAGCACTTTCTGGGCTTTAAAGGTTAGGTTATCATTTCTGTCTGAAATGTGGCTGAAGATAATTGCAGCTGTTTCTCCATTGTCTTTTCCTTCATGTGAAAATCTTGTGGTGGTTCTTTGACTTGCAGGGGAGGACTTTGCGGCTCTGGGTGGTCATGCAGGGCTTGTTGAGCTGCAGCTAAGGTAGAAATGCACCCACTCTGCCTGGAAACAGCACCAGAGTACTTTGAAAGTGCTGTAAGAAAGATCTCTGAGGAAAAACTCTTTGCTTTAAAGACATCAGAGGAAAAGAGATACAAGATATATAATCTTAGTTAATAAGGTTTGGTGACTGAATCGTGTCTGGTGTTGAAATGACAGTACAAGGAATGGGTTCTGTTCATCTCAGTGTCACTAAGTCACCAGTCCAGTGACTTGTATGGAGGTAAAATCTGTGTGGCCTCCCATTCCAGTACAGTTCATGTTGAGTTGAATAATTAATCTTATGATCTTCCCAATTTATAAAATTAATGAAATGTTGCTAGTTTTGAGGGAAGTAAAAATTTGTTTTAATGTACAGTTTTTAACTAAACTGTGATTTGAGACAAACTTCTGCCTTTCTCTAAGGTTGAAGAAGAAATTGGTACTCTCAGACAAGTTCTGGCTGCCAAAGAGAGGCACTGTGGAGAGCTGAAGAGGAAGCTGGGTCTGACTCCCTTGGATGGGTTGAAGCAAAACCTGTCCAAAAGCTGGCACGATGTCCAAGTCTCCAATGCGTAAGTGCTGCTTGTGATGCATCTGTGCTTAACTGGGACTTTGTGTGACACTTCCCAGCAGGGTATTCCAGAGCTCTTTTGAGTGGCTGGAGGTTTCTCTTCTGATGGGTTGTGGAGTAAAAGACACCTAAAAAAAAAACCTTTCTGTGTCTGTGTAAACTGGACTTTCATATCCGTAATCAGGATAAATTGTTGCTGGCTGCTCTTTCCCATGGGGTTAGCGATCTGGACCACACTTAGGGGTTCATTTTGCCTATTTCTGCCCATTCATTGAGGCACAAGCAGCTGCTACCTTGTTCTGAACTCAGGCTCAAAGAGAAGTGCAGGCAGTTTCACAGCTTGTGCCAGTTCAGAAGCACTCCCTGGGTCGTATAGCCTGAATTAAAAGCCTGCACTTCCTAGGAAAAAAATAATCTCCGATATTAGTGTGCTTCAGCAGAGTCATCTTGTCCTAAATATGTGAAGTGAGACTGTTCCTGAACAGTCATTAAGGGTATGGTCACTGCTGACAATGCCAAAAGGAGGGCCCATAAGGTAAGTTTGTCCCTGCTGGGTGTCAGGGACTCTGGGTGCCTGTGGAGGCATCATCCAGGCTAAAAATTCTCCTGTAACTTAACTGGGATTTGGAGTTATTGACAGTGATACTGTAGAGCAGATTGTTGAGCCATTCATCTTGCTGTTTATTCTTTTCCTCATCTTCCCTCCTCTGTCCCTGCCCCATTTCTGTTATTCCTTTGTCACTGGAATCTGTGTCATTGTCTTCTAAAAAATGAATATTAAAGTTATATTCATTAACACTTTCTGTTTCTAGTTATGTGAAAACATCTGAGAAACTTGGAGAGTGGAATGACAAAGTGACACAGTCTGACTTGTGAGTGCCTCGGGCTCCTCAGCATCACCTCCTTGTTCCTCGCTGCCTTCCCTGATTTGTGCTGCTCCTTGTTCTCCCAGGCATCAGGGCTTGCTTGGGAGGTGGAGGCAGGGTGAAGCAGGATTGTTACTTCCAGCATGGCTGGCTTCCAGCTAGAAACATCCCTCAGTTGCAGAGGAGATGAGTAAATGTTACTGTCATCATCTCTGTCATGGTCTTGCTATTGCAGAAGAAAAATTCCAATCAGTTACCAGACCACATTTTTTATGAAAAAAAATAAAAAAATGGAGGGGACAAAAATTTAACCACAATTTCTCTTCAGCTGGTAATTGGTAGGTTAGTCTGTTGTTTCAGGTGTCTTACTAGTGAACCTCTACTGTGAAACTATTTCTCTTCTCATCATGAAAGTGGTAGGAATCAGTTTGACTGTTGACTTTCTGTATGGTCACCTGGGAGAGAAGTGGCTGGAGGTGCTTCCCCATAGCTGGAATTCGGGGCTGTGCAGCTGCCAATGTGTTCATGAGCTTCTGAATCTGCTGCACTGGTGTGTGACTCTTTTCCCAGTGTCAGCACTAGAAACCCATGAATTTTAATCTTTGCTGTGTATCCAAGCAGGTGACAAATGCAGACAAAGAGCATCTAGCCACTTTTGCTTCTGGAATATATTCTTTAATTATACTAGAGCTCCACTGATATTAGACATGAATCATTGATTCCTGCTGCACAGCTGAACCTAAGGAGCCCTTGAGTGCTTTCTGTGCTGAAGTTTCTCTCCCTTTGTCTTGTGTTGAAGGAGATTCTTTAGCTAAGAAGAAAACGTGGATTGGGAGCATCACATCATTAGGCAAGGTGGCACTGATCTAACTGGGGCAAGTGAATTCTGGGTGATAATCCCCTCCTTTGAGCACCTCTGTGTTCTTTCTGAGGTGGGAGCAGCCACCTTCTGTAGTGTGTGTTTTCCTCCAGTATTAGTTGTTGCAACCCTTAAGGTACTGTTTTTGTATAGACAAACGTGATTTCTAAAGATCAGAAAAACAAAAGTTTAATTGTTTGTCTGGTTCCTGCTGTATTGGGTGAAATACATCTTTGGGTGTGGCAGTTTGATTTTTTTGGCCTTAAGATCGGTTCACTGCTCTGTGCTTTTAATACAGACCAGCAACAGAAAATGTAGGAAGAGAGCAGAAAACACAAAATTTTTCATTTCCTGACATTTTTTAAACTGCAGGCTTTGTTTCTTTGTGCTCAGTGTTTGATCATGTTTAAACAAAAGAAACTGGGGCTTAGGTGTCTCTCTGCCTCTCAAACAGTTTTTTCCTTCTGGCTGTACCAGAGAGGCTGAAGCTGTTGTCAGATAAATCAAGCCTCTGATACTATAAGGGTAAAGAGTCACTAATAATGTGGAAAGTGTCAGAAGAAGCATCTGTAGTGAATCTTGAAGCTGTCTCTAACCTCAGTTGTGTTTGTAGATATCTTTCAGCCAGCAGCACACTGGAGGACTGGAATGAAAAATTAACTCAATCAGAAGCGTGAGTGTCTTAACCTTCAGCCTTAACAAATGTTTTCCTCTGCCAGTCTGCTGCCACTAACTGTCCTGTACCCCTGCTCCCAGTCCTCTGCTTTCACTAGATCTGGCTGGACATTTCTCTTTCCTAGCTTTTACTTTTTTAACCCAATAAATGCCTCTGCTGGGAGAGGGAGCTTTTCCCGAGTTCAGTATCCAAGTGATACTCTAGAAATGCCTGCCTGGTCTCAGGAACTGTCTGAAATCCCTGGGTAGCTGAGACTTGTGTGCCACACGTTAGACCTTCAGCTGAGAAGCTGTGGCATAGCCAGACTGACTTTCTTCTTACCCCAACATGCTCTGCAGGGAGCAGGAGCTTTGCTTTCTGCTGTGGTACCTGATGAGAACAGAGCTGTGGTGTCCAGGGCAGTTTCCTGTCATGTTGGGGCCACAAATAGACTCAAACAGCTTGAACCTCACAGCTGTTCTACTCCAGTTGTTGAATGCAAATCTCTCTTAGATGTGCTTTTACTAAATGCCTGAAATTAAATTTTCATCTGGACTAAATTATGGAAGGATATTATGGAAGTTGGCTTTTGTCCTTCTCACTGTGCCTTTCCCACAGTATGTAGGGCAATCCCTTACAGTGCTACAGTGGGAGCAGGTAGGTTTTGTCATTATTTTCTGAGCTGATTTAAACTGGGGAGGTAGGTTTTAGATGTGAGCCAGTTTTTCTGTTTTCTGGGGTGGGTATAAACTGCAGTCCTTGCAGCTGGCTGGTTATCAGCAGCTTGTGTGAATGCACGGTTTTCTTCCTAACACATGTGAAAGAGGAGCAGAGATAAAATGTAGGAGTAGCAGAAAAAACTTTGAAGTATGCAGGTCTACTTTCAACTGTGTTTTCAAGATTAAGAAGCTGTAAACTGTCACTATTTCACTTGCCAAGTAGAATGACCTTGGGTTTTGTGCTTGCTGACAGTGGCTGACTCCAGCCGTGTTCAGAGTCCCTCCCTGGGTGTGCCTGCTAAAGTGGAAAACTTCTGGTTATATCTGTTTCCTAGTACTTCATAAACACCAGAAATGTGGTGGAAATGTGGTTTTGTGGAGCACTTAGGGACTGAAGAGCTCTGGCACCTTAGCTTTCCTACTTGCTTTGGCTCTGGACAGAGTGACAATTGGTGCTGGCAAGATAGAGACTGAAACAGAGATGTGAGGGCGATTGAAAGATTCCAGCAACATTTCAGAAATCAATCAGAATTTCTACTTCTCTAAAGTTCAGTGATTGCAAAAAGGCAAGTTTAAGGAGTCCAGGAGTGAGGTTTTATTAATATGCTTTGGGGTTTTTTATGCAAATAGATTGTCTTTCCTGTTTCAGTGCTGCTCTGTAACTAACAAGGCTCTTGAGTGAACTAGGAATGGACCTGACTCCTGACCTCATGGTGCTTTTGTATGCTGTGGAATTTCCTGGTGTTTGCCGTTCCTGGCCACAGATTTTCCCTCTGCCAGCAGTACATAAACAGGACAAAATCACCCCAGTGTGTTCCTAGATCAGAATGTGAGGTGACTTACAAAGTTTGTATGTTTAGCCAGACAGCTCAAATGGTGATTGCTGGATAAAAGCAAGTGAGAGGAAGCTGGTGTTGATGGATAAAGGAGGATTTGAGGGTGCAGATTTCACTCCTTCCTTGGAGGGTTTATAGGAGAGGGGTGCAGTGAAATGTTGGACTACCACAGGATGAACAGCACAGGGCAGAGATCATCTCTGCGGCTTCTGCTGCAGCCAGTTGCCTGTGAGTAAAGCAGGGTATTAGCCAGAGCTTATATTTATTGCTCCCAGATTTGGATTATTCCATTGTGCTTTGTGCTGGGGCTAAGGGAAGAAAGTGAGTGCTTGTGAATTTACACCCATGGAAAACCAGGCCGTGGCACTTGCAGGAGAAGAGTTTCAACTTTTAGGTCAGGGCTGGGTGTAGTTAAGTTGCATTAAAGCCTTGTATAAGCTGATCCCTGGCTGTCACAGCTGCAGCTCCACATGTGTGTCTGGTGGCAGTTCTGGGTTACAGAGCTGCTCATCTCCCTGTGCTTCCCTGGCTCTGCCTTCTGCCTGGCAGCAGTGAGGTGTGTACGTGTGTGTGGGAGCTGTGGATGCAGGACTAGGCTGGCCATCTGATCCAGCTGCTGCTTTCTTGTGCTTCCAAGTTTATATTTAATCCAGATCATTGCCTTGATCTACATTGCTGTGCCAGCACAAGTAGTTCTGCTGGAGGAAGGAGCACACTCAGGGAGCAGCAGCACCCAAGCGCTTGTTCTTAGTTTATATTAAAAATTCTGCTGTCAGGTGTAGAAAAAACAATTGGAAAATCTCTGGCCTTTATCTGCTGAAGCTGGGCATAATACCTGCAATTTTGCAGTGTGAATGGCACGATGGTGTCCTTTGAGGCTGTAAACCATTCCTCAGAGCTGAGCTCTGAGTGCCATGCGGACCTAGAGTCAGTACTGCATACTTTGGTGAGCACGAGATCTTTGATATTTGTTAGGCAGCAGTAAATCAAATCCCATGACAGGGCTCAGCCAGGGAGGAGCCTGGCTGCTGAATGAGATCCTCCTCAAACACAGTGGTTGCAATAGGAGGGCAGTCACTCTGTGGGATCAAGCAATCTTGGTGCTGATCAGTTCACTCCCAAACTGTTCTGAGGTGCAGAAAATTCTGCTGTGCAGAGGCAATGTTGAGGCCTTGCTGTTGGGGCACACTCAGGTCCTTCTGGAGCTGTTGACTTCAAGAATTGAAAAATGTGTAGGTTATAGGAATTCTCTTTGAGAAGGATGAAGAAGGAAGGAAAAGCTGATGAAGATTTGTTCTGCTTAAGTCTCGTGTATATTTGTGATTCAGAAATATTTGGCTGTTAAAAACAAACTCCAACAAACCAACGTGTTGTAATTGGAATTGCTCAAATCCAGGTCTGGTGCTGTGGTGCTGTCCATGCACTTCTGCCTGGAGAGAAGGAGATGTGAGTAAATCATCTCTCACCGTGGTGTTTGTAGCATGGGGAGCCTCAGGCATGAGAGAACATTAGGCTGTTTGTAATGCCCTTCTACTAAATGTCCTCATCAGGCAAAAAAATAATCTCAAGCTGAAATATTTGGAATAAGAAAAGCTTAAAATGTTCAACTTTTTTCCCAGCCTGAGACTTTTCTTTGTAGTCTGAAGAATGACATAAATCATCAACTGTAGAGTAGTTTAGAGAGAATGAATTAATGAAAGTGACACAAAGAATCTTTGTTCCTGAGATTAGTCTCATCTGAAGGAAACAAAGGTTCTTGAGTGTCTCCAGCTCAGGTATAAACTCAGATAATCAGCTGACAAATAAAAGCTGTCAGACTTCTTACCTATTGTGGTTAATGGTAACTGATAGGAAACTTCTCTATTTATTTCTAAACTGCTGCTGTAGAGCTAATGCTAATTCCTGCATTTCTTTTCTGTATGGTGATGATGGTCTTGCTTCTTGCCTCTTTCCTCCAAAACATAATGCCACAGCAAATCCTATGGCTTCCTCAAGGCTGAAAGGATAATATGGAATAGGTTCCTAGATTTATTTTCTTCAGGACGTGGAAAGATGGTTGCAGAGCAATTAGGCTACGGTGCTGTGGTGTTAGAGCTTCCATGTGGAAATTTGCTTTGGTTTTTAGCAGATCTTTGTTAGATTTAAAAACATACGACCGTATATCAAAAGTATAAGGTGAGTGTATGGAAAGGTTAATCCTACACTTGCTGCTTTTGTAAAGCTTCAAATATTTGAATATATGCAAATGTGGAAATGGCTCTTTCAGTGAAGTCAGTGCAGCTCACTAACCCAGCTTCTTTCCTTTAATATGGGGTCCTTTTTCAAAATGGGGACACTTTTGGATCCAACATGTTCGTTCAATTTATGATTTTTTTCTGTGTAGTTATAAGAAGACCCAGGAAACCCTTTCCCAGGCAGGACAGAAGACTTCAGCAGCCCTTTCCAATGTAGGTTCTGTTATCAGCAGGAAGCTTGGTGACATGAGGTAAGATTTCTGCTTTGCATTCTGGGGCTTTGATCTTGGTTTCAAACAGGAATGGGGCTTTAGACAATAACTAGGCTTTCTTCCATTTTTCTGCTTATTTGGCAGCATGTTACTGTTGATGGACTGCCACCTTCTGTGTGGCCCTGTGCATTGTAGTTTAGGACAGATTGAACTCTTATTGAAGACTTACTGAGGGGATAAGCCTGTTCTAAAGCATTTAAGTTTGGTTTGGTTTAGGAGAACCGACCAAACATTTTTAGCAGCCTTCCCCGTTTTACTGCTGTGTGGATTCACTGCAGCTTTTATGTCATATGTAAGAAATTAGAATTAAAATTTCTCTTTTCCATTTCTTGCTGGATTATGGAGGTGTGTTTTCTCAGTGTAACTGCTTTGGATTAGAGAGGGGTCATCCCTCCTGTGTTCTGTTATGATTAAAAACAAAAAGGGAAGAGTCTGTTTGCTGCATTCCATGTGGTTTCAAGCCCTGGGTGTTGACATTCTGTGGAGAAGGGCAGCATGTCTTCCAGGCACAGTTATGTCATGTTGGTTGGAAAATATCAATTGATTCAGAAGATTATGACAACATTAAAATTTTGTTCTGTGGTTGGGGTTTATCTCCATTCTTTAACCAGATGACCACTAAAACAATTGCAAATTTAAACTTTAAAAGTGGCAAGAGATTCTCCTGGTTGAGGTTCTTGCTCTGTGAGTTTCTCAGCTATACAAAGCCCAAGGTTAGAATTTGTGATTTATCCTCAGTACTTTAAGCCCAAGATTTCTTACCCACTAATGATAACATCCACATTTTTCATGCAGAATCCCTTCATGATGTTTTTCTTAGATTTGAAAGCTAATTCTGGATGTACAGCCTGTCTATGTTACTAAGGAAGGATTTTTAGATCTTGGATTTAACATGCTGTCTCAGACCTTGGATTGAATGGGTAGCTGTCATTCTTTGTAGGGAATTTCCTATTCCACTGTGGCTGGGAGTATCCGAGTGGTAAGAACTTGTTGGCCTCTGATCACATAGTACTGATGTATTCTGGTTCTGTCCTCAGTGAGTTAGTTACTGTGTTCCTGGAGGGTATTTTTTGGTGTTTTCAGTAGCTCACATCTCTGAATTTGGCAGAGGACTAGCTAGCTTCCTACCCTTTCCAGCATTCAAGTTGTAACTTTTCTTTCCTGGAAACTCCCTAGCTGCTGGAAAAAGGGACTTTCATGTAATCACAGCAGATTACGGATACTGGCACAAGATGTGGTGAGAACACATTTTGCCAAACTGATAAGTGAATTTGGGGCCTGGTTTCTGCAGTCTGGCCAGGCTGTTGCAGGAAAGGAATGGGAGCTGTGCTTTTTTTGGGACCTGGGGAACTCCTGAACCAGGGTTGCGACATGCAGAAGCTGTTTTGGCAGGCTAGGTCCTGCCTGTTGTTTTTGAGTTGGGAGAATGCAGGTCATGCAGCTGTTGAAATGTTTGTGCTATCCCAGGAGCAGGTGATGGAGGGAGAGGATACTGGGATGCTCTCCTGGTGGCAGAGCTGGCCTGGCACAGTCACTGTCACAACTGGCCACATAATCAGATGGCCCAGGCACGAGCCAGGCCTTTGCAGCAATGGTTTTTCTCAGCTTCAACATCTGCATTCCTTTTTATGTCTAATACATTGGGTGAGGTGTTATGAAATAGAGGCAGCTTCTGCCTTATCACTTGGGAATCCCTGCCAAAGTTATTTCAGTGGGATTTGTATATGTGGCCCTGTGGGGGAACACAGTAATGATTTTTTTTTTAAGACTTTCAGTTTTTCTCTGCATATATAAACAGACTTCTCTCTCCTGTGCTGCATCCAAGTCTTCCTATTTCTGATACTGAAGAAGGTTTAACTCTGAGCATAAGGTTTTGCAGGAGCTGTCCCACTTTTCACCCTTGCCAGGTGAACTCTGGTGTTCTGATGTGTGATCAGAGCTGATGAGGAGTGAAGTCTGTTGTATTGCTGTGATCACTGCTCTGAACTAGCAGGACGATCTCTGTTCCCAGAGAATCTTACAGGCCTTGTAGCCTACACTGACCTCCATTACTGTAATCTGGTTTTTTTCCTTCTTACACTACAAATTCACTTGTAAAGCGAGTTTATTTTCCAGCACTGGAAGTGTTGAGATAACAGAGGGGATTTCCTTGTTTAGTCAGCCTTCACCAGCTGATAAATGCAAGGAAGGCCTGATGAATGGGACAGAGCCTCTGATGCACCAAGGGTGTGGGCCTGAATTCCATTAAAAATACTTGGACCAAATTGTTTTTAAATACAAGTAACATGTTAATACAAGTAACATGTTAAATCTTTAGACTTGCTGTCTTATTCTGGTCAAAATAATTTTGCTATGTGGATGGTAACCTTGGGAAGGTAATGCTGTAACCGTGTGCTCGCTGCATTAATGCTCTACTGGATTGCTCTGAGGGGAGGAAATGTTCCTTAGTGGGTGGGATTTTTTCAAATCTTGGCCTGTTCAGATGTCTCTGTTATCTCCACCTACAGTTAAAAAGTAAATTGGCTTTTAGACATTCTGTTCCTGCATTTTACTGATTCCAGTAAAGTGCAAAATTAGAAGTGTTTTCTTTTTTATTGCTTTGTGGGTTTGTGTCCACCTGTGCACTTGATGGTGTCTGATGAAATTTGCTGCTGTACATAATGCTGCGAGCAAATTCATTATGAAATGTTAGCCTGAACCCAAAATGCCTGCAGATTCTGGAATTTATGTCAACTTTCAGTCCTTATGGAAGGAGGAAAAGGGTTACTGCTAGGTCCAGCCCAAGATACTGAGCAAGGAACTGGTGCTTGTGGTATTCCGTATGGAGCAGCATGGTGCATGGATGTGTTATCTGTGTTGTTCTCCTTTAAGCAAGAGTAAGTAGAAAGTTAATTTATTTCACATGCAAAGGCAGCATTTCAAGGCATCTGCCCTGCCAAAGAGCTGACTTGGATATATGAGGAAATGAAACCACAGAGCCCAACATCTTCGCTCTGGCTGTCAGGAAAAGCCCTTGGACTCCTTGCCAAATACTTCACATCCAGCTTGCCATGACTGCTTCCTGCTGCAGAGACAAAAATTACATTTAAGTGGAATAAAACACTGCTCTGGCAGGAGAAGCTCCTTTAGAGTGTCCTGGTAATCTTCCTAATAAAAGTAGGAAACCTCAGTCTGTTGTTTCAGACTGCTGAGATGCTACTGCACTGCAAAACCTCATCCTAAAAATGGGCAACCAAGTTACAGGGTAAAGATGATACCTTTAATCTCATCTTTATTAACCTGCAGTGCATTTGTTCTCTGAACTGTAACTTTGAGATTTGCAGGCTTGGCAAGATAACGTGTGCAGGTATCCATTGCAGGTTGCCCTTACTCAAGTCCTCACCAGAAGTCTGAGCAATGCTGTCTTTGTATGAGAGACCACAGGGGGAAATGGGGGAAGGAGGTATCTCTACCAATATAGCTGGTGCTTGTTAAAACCTTCAGTTTAGAAAAAAGTGTTTAAATAAAACATGTGAAAGCAATGGGTAGGGGTAGGTAAAATGTTTTGGTTTGCTGTTGCACATCTACTCCTTCCCCTCCCCAGCTGGGTTCTAAGTTGATGTAGGTGCTGTTATTGCTCTTTGAGAAACATTTTAGCTTGTCTGGAGTTAATGAAAAGCATTTTTTTTTTTGCTTGCTCCTGTGATTTATTTTGAGAAGCTTCCTCCTGGGTAGTTGACTTTGCTGTCCCATGATTCTGTGACCGTGTCCCTGGGTTTGGTGTTGAGCTCTGCGCAAGTTTCTGACCATTCCTTCCTTTTTCTCTCTGCTGCCCATGGCCTCTCCCAGGGCTCACTCCATCTCACATTCCCTTAGGTAAGATACTCTTCAAGGCTCTAAAAGAGCATTTGTTTCTGTGCCAGACCTTTGCAGACCTTAAAGGGGAAGCTGGTTATTTAAGCCTTGCCTAAACTTTTGACACAGATTGAGAAATCTACCACAAACCAATGGCCTGGAACTGACTTCTGTATCACAGTTGCAGTGAAATACTGGCTATCCTGCGTCTGGAAAACTACATTTGGGGCAGCAGCTGTTAAATAAGGGGAGAGAGGGCTGGCTCCTACCACTTGGGTTGTCCACAGCAGCCTGTGTGTGGACAGTGAGTGCTTCAAACCTGGGGTTAGGCTGCTTTTGCACGGTGTCAAATTGTCGTTAACTTTTTCCTCCTTGTCCCAAATGCTTCCGAGCAGCGGCTACTCCATCCGCCACTCGATAAGTATGCCAGCCATGAGGTAATGTAGCCTGTGTCTCCTGAGTGGGGCTGGGGGAGGACAGCTGCCTCCATCACTGCTGGGGGGTTTGGTCTGACTTGGACAAATGGCTCCTTTCTCGAGCAGGTTCCTCTCTGAGCGTGGATTAACCACAGCCTGCAGTTTGTCTGTTTAAAGGGTTTTTTAATAGCTCTTAAGGTCATTAGCACCTGTCTTTTCTTGGACTAAGTGCAGTGTTTCACTTGTACCAAAGTCTGGTTGAAGTTTGCAGGTTTCAGAGGTCCCTGAAGGGCAGGATTACAGTTCTGCCACAATGTGCTGCACAGCCATTGCTGATACCAAGGTGAATCCTCATGGGAACCCTCTCCTCGGCCTTCCCTCACATTGCTGTTGGTGGTGATCTCCTTGCAGGAGAAATGACTGCCAGGGCTGGACAAGGCCCACAGAATTCTCTCTGTTCATCCTCCTCTTTCTAGATCAACAGAGATTGTTTTGTGGCTGCAAATCTAAAGCAATTCCTTGGAACAAAAATAACTGAGATGAGGCGAGTCATCTCTCAGCGCTCCTGCAGCCTGGCCCGGGGGAGCAGCTCTATGAGTAATTGCCTGGTCTGGAAGCTCAGTACAGAGCATTCCCTGAAATCCTTCGCCAGTGAAGCAGCTTGTTGGGTTGTCAAACAAGTGACCTGGTTTTCTTTGCTAGAAATATGAAATGCTCTGATTAATTTATTACACTGTGATATTACTGAGCATTTCCTGATGCAAATGATCACCCCTGTAGAAATAAAGCTGCTGATAGGTGCAGGTACATGGCCCTTCCCCTTCCTCCCCATGGGATGTGATTCAGGAAACTGAAGCCTTTGTTTTAAACCTTTCTCAGCTTTCCCTTTCCACTGTTTAAAACAAAATGTTTTTAGTTGGGAGTTTTTTAAAGCTAAGAGTTTTCTTCTCTACTTAACTGTGCTTTGATTCCCCAGTGAACTAGGACTTGTTTCTCTCAACATTTTAGCTTGAGCAATTGAGTGGACTGCACGTGGTATAAATGTTTTCCGTCAAAGTTTGGATGTGGTGTTCTTGCCTGGTGTGCCTGAGAGATTTGTGCCAAAGGCTGTGAGGAGCTGGAAATGTTCTGGGTGATGGTGTCATTGCAGGGGAATGGCCACAGAGCCCAGTTGCACTGTGCCATTTGATATAGTTAAGAACTAACTTGTCTTGATTTGTTTTTTTTTTTTTTCTCCTCTCTTCTTTCTTCAAGGAATTCTGCAACCTTCAAGTCCTTTGAAGATAGAGTTGGGACCATAAAGGTAACAGTCTGCTTTGTCTTGTAAACACAGAGTGTGAAGCCTTGTGCAGAAACTTTAATTTCTGCAATGTTTTTCTTGTAGACTAGTATTCGGGCAAATGGCCTCTCAGATATGTGAAGTCTTGGCTACAGTAGGTGACCTCGACAAGGGGGAATTGACTTGGTATTCCCAGTGCTGCTTTCGTGTTGTCCTCACTCTCTTCTCTCCTTCCAGTCCCGAGTGGTGGGCAGCAGGGAGAACAGCACTGACGGCCTCCACTCCCCGTCTGGAGCTGGGGACAAGCCTCCACAAGACAACACTCCCTTCTAGACCTGGATGTGGCTTTGCACAGCTGTGCACAACTGGAAGAGCCCCCTCCCTCCCAGACCTTCACCACAGCAACAACATGTGAATCCAAGAAGGGGCTGAGCGCCAGTCTGGAGAGATCCATCCTTCATTCATAGACACTGCTGCTGGATCCAAGTCAAATAAAGAGAATGCAAAGTTTTGTACACAAATAATATTTTACACTAAAGTTTGTAGATTAAATGTATCACTGCTGTCCTTTTAGGAGAGCATGTAAGCTGGAGTTTCCTTAAAGTAGCTCAGAAATGCCACTTCTGTGGATGAAAACAGTTTTCCCTTGTCTGACATAGCTTGGAGCAGATACATGGCCCTGAGCAGCATGAGGAGGGCAGTAACTGGAGAAGCCAAGTGCATGGGCACCTTAGCTTCAGCTTCTGGCTCTGTTCTCTGTGTGGGCTACTCTGGGAGCTCCCAGGCTTCTCCTGTTACTGTTTTCTCTGGCTCTCATTGGAGCTGTTAGGTAGATGGGGTTAAACAGTTGGGGTTTTTTCTGGGTTTCTAAAAGGTAAACTTCGCTTAGCAGCTGCCTCGTTGTTACACTAATGCTCTAGCTTTAACAAAACTAAGAATCTTTATTTTTAAATGCAATGAACTTTAAAGAAATAAAGCTTAAAAACAAAAAAAAAAAAGCTTTGGCATATTAGGGCAATGCTCCCTTGGACTCTGAAGCTGAATTGCAAAGCCTTACATCATTTATGCTTTACTTGTTTATGATTTATTTTCTGTAGAGAAGACTGCAAGGGTTCTAAAGCTGGTTGTTGAGCACTGGAGTTTTGCATCATGCAGTCATAGCAGCATGTTTATAAAGCCAGTTCTTGTGTTAAATTCAGTGGTGCACTCTGTTTCCCGAGTGTATGAAACTTGCTTCTCCCTTCTCGGCTTATCCCTTCGTTCTCGGAGGAGGAATTTCTGAAGGCTGGAATATGGATACCATTGGAGGGACTCTGCTCTGCTCTCCGAGGGCTCCTCCAGCTGGTACATCTGGCTGTGACTGGATGGGTTTCTCAGTTGAAAGCCCCAGCTCTAATTTTGGTTTACAAAAAACGGGCAGAGTCATGGAGCTCACCCAGTCCCTCCAGGGGCTGGATGTTTTGCTCTTTTGATGTCCAACTTCATTGCTCAGGAGCTGACAAATTCCAAGTTTTCTCCTAGAGGCCTGATTTTATTCTAGGCAAGGTGCCTCCACATAGAAATACCTAGAGTGAGCAATTCTGTGCCTTAGAGGCGAAGTGGGACTTACTCAGGTCTTTAAACTTATGTACATATCTGGTAGTTTTAGTGGTTTATCACCCCGGAGGGACTGAACTGCCTCTGACCCTTTAGAGAAGCAAGTTTTGACACTGATTTGATTAATCTCCATTTCCCCCACCCCTGCTTCCCTCCCTCTGCAGACCTGGGGACATGGGATGAGATGTTAGTGGGCAGATGTACTAGGCCATAGGTGGAGTGTAGAGTGTCGTTCATGTGCATTCCTTGTTTGACTGGAACTGGCCTTCCTGTGAGGAGCAGAGCCAGTGAAATGGGGACTGCAGGAGCTTGGGTTTGGAACTGTTTCTCTTTAAGACAAAGACTGAAGAAAACTGTCAATAAAGAATTCCTTTGTGAGAAAATGGGGTGAATGTCTTTGTCTTGTTCTAACAGCACTGAAATTCTCTCTTTAGTGCATGCTATGAATTCGTCAGGTAAATACCAACTGCCTGCAGTAGCTTGAGGTGAGAAGCAAGTGATATATTCCATCCTATCCCTCTGGCTTGTCTGCTGCTCTCTTATGAAGGAATGTACTAAATAATATTTACAGTTTCCTTTCCAATATACTGGACACTGTTCCCAAGCTGTTATCTGGCCTCTTCCTGTGCTCTGGGCTGGGGAGCTGCAAACTCCATTGCTGGTGCTGCAGGTGAATTCCAAACTCCTTCACACGGTTTTCCTGAGCTGGGAGCGTGGGACTGCAGTCCCAGCAGTAACCTTGGCAGTGGGAGCTGAGGCTGGAGAAATTTCTAATGTGGAAAAGCTGCAGCTGTGGTGCTGGCGTGGCTTGACAGTATGATTCCTCAGGGAAGTCAGTCACCTCCATGGAAGCTCTGGCTTCACAACAGTGTGGCACTGGGGGAGTTGTGGATGGATGGCTGGAACTGGGAGCTGCTGTCTCAAAGTTTAAAAGGGCAGTGCAGAGCAGGCAAATAGGTCGTGGAGAGGCCAGCAGAGAACGTCAGTGTGCTGTTTGCAGAGGAAGGATGCCCAGTTAGGCTTGAGACATCTGGTGGCGAGGGTTTGGGTTTGGTTTTGGTTTTGTAGGTTTGGGTATTTGTTTTGAAGGTTGGGGGTATTTTTCCTACATCACTTCAATAGGTAAAACTACATCTCTCCAAGCAGGGCTAAGGACAGAGGGGTTAGTATGAGACCTGATCCTGGAGGAGAGACTGGAAGCACCCAGGCTGAGGTGAGGGGAGGGCAGATGGCTCCATCCCTCAAAGCAGATAAAACAGCGAAATTGAAAACTAACTAACTGCAGAAAGCAGGAAGGAGCCACTTTTCCCTGCTGGCACCATGTCCCAACCCTCAGCCACAACCACGGCAAGTGCTTCTTAAGGAATTTAACATGTTTGATCTGAGGGATTGCACAACCACTCCAGCAGTGGGAGCCTGTGCTCATCCCGGCTGAGTGAGCTGTGCCCAGAGCCAAACGCTGGCCAGGGGCTGCCAGCCTGGGCCCACTTGCTGCACCCCTCTGGGTGCTGGGGTGGGCTCAGCATCCCTTCTTGGGTGCAGATTCTGTGTGAGATCCAAGGTCAGTGCTGGGGAGCCTTGCAAGTAGCTGGTGTTTTGGATGGGGAAAGGTGCACGAGCCAGGCTGGGGATGGAGCTGGAGTGAGGAGAGGGTGTGGGTGTGTGATTCATTGTGATGACTCTGTTGGCAAATAGGATCCATCATCATTCATCCCTTTAAAACGTGAGTCAGAGGCAGCAGACGGGAAAGGCCATTAGAGCCTCATGGAGAAGCCACCAGCAGGGCCATGCCAGAGTGATGGGAGGGATAACTCAGTGTTCCTGAGGTCACCATTCCAGGGTCACCTGCTCCAGGATGCACTGGATATGTGGAAATTGTGCTTTTACCCAACACTGGGAAATAGCCATGTTTCCCAGGGAACAGCCAGGAGTGCCAGGAAACTTGAGCAACTGGGGAAAACAGACTCATGAGCTTAAAAACCTCTTCTTCTCTAATTGTAACCACTCATTTTCGTTAAAGGGAACTGGCTCTGCAGTGAGCTCCTGAGGACCCCAAGGTGAGGCTGGTTGGGAGGGGTGGCAGGATGGGATTCTCAGAACAGGGGCAGGGGTGAAGGTGTTGCCCAAAGCACACTTAGAACTGGGGCTGGGGTGTGGGCAGGGGGCTGTGTGCCCGGACAGTGCCCTAAAGGTGGTGAACCCTCTGGCCTGCAGCCACGGGTGATGTCCTGAGGGTGTTCTCTGCAGCCCAAGCCTCCGGCTCCTCCACTGTCCCGGCCTGACTGCAGGCCCTGCACCTCTGTCCCCAGCCCCACAGATCCCCGTGTCACAGCCCCGGGCCCAGTGCTCCCTGTGCCACGGTCACCAACTCCTGCGGGGAGCTGCAGCCCCCGGCCCCACTGATCCTTGTGCCGCAGCCGCCAATCCCACTGCAGATCCCGGTCCCTGTACCACAGGCACAGGCTCCCGTGATGGATGGCAGCCCCGGTCCCGGTACTGCAGTTCCCGGTCCCACCGCAGCCCAAACTCCGGCAGCACTGTCCCCGATCGGCCGCAGAGGCAATAAGTCAAGTAAGGCGAGCGAAGAGTCTTTGTATCGCTCCCTGGTGGTCTAGTGGTTAGGATTCGGCGCTCTCACCGCCGCGGCCCGGGTTCGATTCCCGGTCAGGGAAGTTCCGTTTTTGCCGCTCCCCCTCCCGCTTTTCCCCCATCCTTCCCCCTCCTCCTCCATTCCCGTCGGGATCCCCCCCGCGCGCTCCCGGCGCTGCGGCCGCGTGCCCGAGCGCGCGGCGGGGGCGCTGCGTGTCTGGAACGCGCATGCGCAGTGCGCCGGCGCCGCCCCCTCCCGTGGCCGGGTCCCGGTCGGTGTCTGGCGGCGGCGGCGGCACCGGCGCTGAGGGCGGAGCGCGCGCCGCCGTGAGCGGGCCCCGCGCGAGGCCCCGAGGAACCGCCCCCGCCCCGCGGGGCCGCCCCCGCCCGCCCGGGGCTGCGCGGCCCCTGCCCGCCCGCGGGCCGCAGGTGAGCGCGGCGGGGCCGGGCCGCGGGCGGAGGCCAAGATGGAGCTGGTGGCGGTGGCGGGGGGGGGCGCGGCGAGGCGGGAGGACCGGGGGAGGGTGGGATGTGCCCGCCGGTATCTTCCTGCCCGCCGGTATCTTCCTGCCCGGGGGCATCGCCCGCCGAGCATCCCCGCCCCAGGAACCCCCCCGCCCCGGGATCCCCCCGCCCCGGTCCCCGGTGGCGGTGCGGGTCCCGCGCCCCCCCCACTCCTCGGAGCAGGGGGGAAAAGCCCCGAACAAAAGGCCTGGGAAGGTGAATTCCAAATGAAAGTCATCTCTGTGTGTGGGAGCCGTGAATCACTCTGGCTCGCTCCAGAAGCCGGGGTGATTTTCCTTTCCCTTTCCTTACATTATCCTGCTTAATTTTTATCGAAATAATTAGTAGCCGCTTGGCTGATGAAGTGCTTAATGAATGACGTACCAGCAGCGGGAAGCAAATCCAGCCTTTACAACGTGAAACTTGCAAAGGCAGCATATTTCTGTTTATTCGTGCAGTGTCTTCTGGCTCTCAAATTAAGAATTCCGGTCAGGTAATTCTGGAGATATGGAATGCAACTGGACCGAACGGAGACAGCGGATTCCCTGATAGCGCCTTGCTCCTGCTTTTGTGCTGTATCAATACCTGACTGTTCCACACCAGTGACACAAAGCCTTGAGTTTATTAGTGGAGAGTGGGCACTGATGGAGCCAGTGCTCCCTGGGGAGCAAGGTGAAGGCCATCCTGTCTGACATAAGAGGGAAAGCCAAATGGTTTTATCTTTTCTACCTTTATTTTTATTGGGGTGTTAATTTTCGTGCACTGTGAGACATTGCTGTTGAGCTGTCTGTGCTGCGGTAAGGCTTAAAAAAAAAAAAAGCATAAATTTGGTACATTGTCTCGGACCGGTGTGCAATAATCTAATTTTCCCTGCTGATGTTTGCCTTGTGCCAGCTTATCATCAGGAAAGGGAAATGCTGTGTGTGTGCTTAAATACTGTGTTAGTTTGCTGCTTTTGAAGCAAAAAACTTGCAGGCCGCAGTCACCCAGTGGCTGAGCAGTGGTGGTTCACCCATTTCTCTGGGTAAATTAAGCTCTCCAAAGTATGCAGAGCTGCAAGGATTTCCTTTGGAAATGCGTCAGGATTGGACCTATTTAAATTCTTGAATTGTAGCAGCCTCCTTGAAGTGGAATTTATTCTTTTGACTGCAGTTTCATTAGAGGCATTTTCAGCTTCTCAAGCATCTGTTGGTTTCAGGTTGCTTAGGATCAGTGTTTGCATTTGTTTGCTTTTGATAGAATATGATGGAATCCTAATCTGACTAAGGGATCCTGAGAAATAGATGCCAAATTAATTTGCTTTAATGAATTAGCTCTAATAAATCAAGTCTGCTATACCCTGGGAGGGAGAAAAGAAGGGAAACAGAAGCTGAAGTGGAAGAAAAATTGACATTAATATATAGAGTGTAAGATGAAAAGAAGTTTATTTTTATTGAGCAGCTTCCTGTGGTTTTCTCGCCATGCTCTAAGGGCTTTGGAGAAATTCGTCATGTTGCTGGCAGTGCAGAATCTGCTTTGTGGAGAAGTCAGGCTTTGGAGATGGGATTTTCAGCCAAACAGCTTTTTGTAAGCATAAATAAATACTTCTCTCTCCCTCATTTATTTCATCTTGGGGATTGTCCTCAGCATTTAAATGGAAGGGGAGATGCTGCAACATGGTCATGTTCCTCCTAAATTTGGGGTGTGTTGCATTGATAGATTGCAGGCTGGAGATTCAAGTGGAAGGTTCTCCTCCTTCTCAGGGTATCTGTCTGTTATATTTAACAATATTTTGTCAGTGAATGCCTGAAAAAAGTAATGTTTTGTAGCACATCTCCTAGTGTAGACTTGTAGTGTTGATTATTCCTAGGAAGTATGAACACTGTTTCGGTCTTTCCCAGTGCCCAAGGATCCACCTCCTGCTGTCTTGGTAGCCTGTCCTGGTTTGCAGTGGGTTGTAGGCAGTTGATTCGGTTTGTGGCTGACATTGTGGACCTGGTGGAACATCACTGACCTGGCTTCACCAGGGAGGTTGCCCAGGATGATTGGAGCCTGCCAGAGGCTTGCTCTGCAACAGATGATGGGAACAGGGGTTGGAATGCAGCTGTGGTATGGACAGGCTTCTCATGCCGTTCTCACCATGCTGCGTGAAGGGCATCCATGGAGTCAGTGAGGGAGTTTGGATCCTCATACTTTGGAAAACATGGAGCAGCACCAGAGTATGACTTAAGAACTTCCATGCTGGAGAGAGTCCAGAGCAGGGCATGAAGATGCTCCCAGGGCTGGAGCAGCTCTGCTATGGAGACAAACT